AATATTTTGAGAAATGCCTCATCAGAGTCCAAGAAATACTTACCGTGATTTTTGGCCTCCCACCGACCCCTAGACAAATCACGCCATGAGCGCTCGGTGTATGTGGAAGTCGAAACAAGAGCCCGAACCCAATTCTTGAGGTCGGGAACTGCTCCAGGTATCCAGGGAACCGCTACATCACGAAAAGAGGAGTGTCGATAAGAGAGTAAATGAAAGAACAAAATGAAAGCAACAGCAAGATCACACTTACATTTCATATTCCACTCCTCGGGAAAGGGCATCTTTTCAGAACGAACCTGCTCATCCAACCCTGGTCCCTGTCCTCGTCAATACTCGAGAACAAAGCCTTGGTAGCCCGATGCTGGAGTTTTATTAACCCTCCCCGAAAAAGTCAGGGATGGTACAACCAGATATGATGATCGAGGGTGAACGACATCCCCTCGATTTTGCTCACGAAATAGCGGATCAGGATAACGAGCCCCCACAAAGAAGGATGGACCTGGCCTAAGGTTACCTGGTATTGTCGACAGAAGTCAATAACGACGGAATCGAGGGGACCCAAAGTGAAAGGGTAAGTATATACGTTCAAAAACCCTTTCACGTAAGAAGTGATATCTTCGTCAGGGGTAGGTATTATTACTTATTTTTCACCCCAATTGCAATCCTTCTTCAACAGATCGAGGTGCGTCTCGGTTATCGAACACATGTACCTCGATACCGGCTTACACCGGCCAAGGACCGATGAACCTTTATCAACTTTAAAATCTGAAGTAAGGACGCACGCACCGGGGACACACTCCTCAGGCTGTGGTTCTACCGGTGTCTCATCGGCGACACACTGTGAAGATGAAGCCTTCTCTTTCTGAGGAATAGTTTGCGATGTTTTCGCCATTTTTGAATTCAAAGGTAAGGAGTAGAAGAAAGTGATAGAGATTTGGTAGAATTGAGGAGGGTTTCTTTCGGAAAGAAATCACAGCTTTTTTGGTAAGTTGGAGAGTATAAAAGAAATTGAGAAATTTTAGAAGATAGAAGATGTAAAAATGGTAAAAGATAAAGGTGAGAGTTATTTATAGGTTCAAGCGACGGCGGTTCATTATCAGCAGTGGCCGACCACCGCCTGACATACATTAAATGCCTTGAAAGATTAAACCGACGGGACAGCTACCATATGCGTCATGGTCAAACCTGATGGAAACGACAAAATATAATCCGATCGAGCTATTGGAAATTGTATCGTTTCTTGCCATATTTCTTTCTGAGAAACGAGGGGACTATCTGTATACGGTCGAAATAAATTTCAGCCTTGGCGTGTCCGGTATGGTTCGAAGGGTGGTATATCGAAGTAAGGTCCTGAAGGGAGCACGAACTAACCTAGAACCCGGAGAGGCCGGTCCGTGTTAAGATCGATATCATAATCAAACTCGAACAAGGATCGAACCATGACGCGGGTAGATCTATCGTGCTGATAATCTAAAAACCAACCTACATCGACCTGGAATCTATTCGAGGGCTCGAACCATTATCGGGCTCGAACCAAGATCACAAGTTCGAGCCGAAATCAAGCTCGAACCAAAATTGAGGATTCTAAGCAAGATCGATCTCGCAGACAAAAGCCGTTGTAATCCCACTAGAGGGAATCTTGGCAGAAATTATGGAAAAGCTAATTTATCATGGGTCTCCCACTGAATGTTTATTTTTATTATGCTTGGAGCCAAACCCCTTCACTATAAAAGGACTTGGTTATCATTTCTGTAGGGGCATCTTTTTCTGAGATTTACATTATAATGAAAGTATTATTTCCTCTACAAGAAAGAGTGGTTATTCTAGTTTCTTAGATTGATTCTATTTGTTAAATTCTAAGGTTCACTATTCTTGATTGCTTTGTCTAGATTACATTCTCCCCAGTCTATATTCATATTTTATTTATCCTTGCATTTTGTATTAAGTTGTACCACATATCTTCAGAACTGCGTATAAATTCAACTCTATCCATTTTTCGGGTAAACAGTATCCTTTGCCAACAAGCCGAATACCATTTGGGTTAATCTTTGTCTTAAAAACCCGCTTACATCTAGTGACATTATGAGATGTGGATGGGGGAACCAGCTGCCACGTTCCATTTTGTATAAGTGCATTGTATTCATCAAGCATTGTTTGACGCCATTTGCTATCCTTCACAGCATGAGTGTAGCTCGTGGTCTCGGATTGGGCAGTTGCTGTAGCAGAGAGGGAGAATGGTTGCTTTGGTTTCAAGGACCCCGTTTGTGTACGTGATACCATTTTGTAAGGTCGAGAGGGAGTTGTGGCAGGAAAAGAAGTATCAGAAGAAGAAGAGTTCATGGAGGAATAATTACCAGACAATGTTGCAGTAGTTGGTGATAACGATACTGTATGAGAGGCATCAGAAGTACGGATGAGCTTGGTGATGTGGTATTGGTTTTTATGGGGAGGGTGGNACATGGAATATGAATAGTGAGAGGTTTGTGTGACTGAACTGGTTGAGGCAGGCGACAACACTTGTCCTTGTACAGTAAAAGGAAAAGTTTTTTTATCAAACACAACATGGCGGGAGACATAAAATTTGGATGTAATAGGATCAAAGCACTTTTATCCCTAATGAATTTTACTATATTCCATAAAACACTAGGTTTAAGGCGGGGAGATAATTTATCTTTTGTATAAGGTCGAAGCCATGGAAACCAACGACATCCAAAAATGTGCAACAAGGAATAATTAGGACCGGTGTGAAACAACACACGTAAAGGAGAGTGATTATTTAATCATAGAGAAGGTAATCTGTTAATAGTATAGACATCAGTATAAAAAGCGTTAGTCCAAAATTTTGATGGGACATTAGCATAATGCAACAAGGCACGACCAGTTTCTACAATATGTCTATATTTTTGTTCACCACAACTATTTTATTACAGAGTATAAGGATACGAGGAACGTTGAACAATACCATTTGCTCTCAAATAATCGGTTAAAGCTTGAAATTCACCTCCCCAATCTACTTGAAAACATTTAATTAGACGGCCAATAAAACTTTCTACAAGCGTACGAAATTGAACAAAGACAGATAAGACTTCCGACTTAAGTCGAAAATAAATTCATGTATATTTGCTGAAATGATCAAAGAAGATAACATAATACCGATAGCCATCATTCGATACATCCGGGGCAGGACCCCAAACATCAAAACATATCAAATCTAAAGGCCCCCTGGCCCTAAAACTAGGCTCACTAAAAGAAATTTTGTGACTCTTACTAACAGCGCAAGTGGTGCACAAACTAGAAACTTTATTGGGGGGAGAAATAAAAGCTCTAGATGACAATGCTTTACGAACCGTAGGAAAAGACGCATGAGCCAAACAAACATGCCAAACACCAAGAGATGCAGCATGAGGGTAAAGCCCATCATTATTCCGCCCTCTATGAAGAGGTTCCTTCGTTGCAAGTCCTTAATCAAAAAATGATTTGGAAAAAAATTCAATTGAAACTTGATTAGACTTAGTAAAAAAACTTAGGCGAAATATATAAACGGCCACTTTAAGTTGTCTTTAACGATCAACTGAACACCTCAACCGAACCTATTTTCAACTCCACATTTCAAGCCTTTAATAAAGTAGGTCAACGAAACATCAGAGACCAACAAACCTCATGCGTGTATCACAATTGCGGATGACATGTCAAACGGACAAATCATTAAATGACATGTGTATTTATTTTAAAAAAAAGATTATGTATTAACTTTCTCTACCCAAAGAACATCTGCCAACCCCAATTATTTGGTCACCGTTGCCGGCCAAACCCCCTCCATTTGTTTTTCTTTTTTCTTTCTCAAAACCAAATCAAAAACCGTCCTAACCCACTTAATTGAAGATTTTCACCAGCAAGAACCAATTACCAAATTCAATTGTAATGAAATTGGAAGGTTTTAGATGAATATTTTTCTCAAATTTGGGGTAAAGGGAGATGAAGGAGGTGATGGTGGTTCTTTGGTGGTGTAATATTGCTGGAGATGATATGCAGGACATCAAAGGTCATTGGTGTTTGTTCTGTGAGTGATTGGTGTTTGGTCTAATGAACAATGGTGAGAAGAATGTGTTACGGTGGATTGGTGTGTGTGATAGAGGTTTATAATTAAATTGAGGCTATGGACATGGCAGTGGAATTAGCTGTCAGATTTGATATATTTAGATTTGTTTAGTGGTGGATTGTGGTTGTGATGGTGATGGAAATTTTGTCCGGGATGTATCTTTTTCTTTATGGGTTTCTACGAAACGAAGAAAAGTAAAAAGATTGAGGTCAACAGTGACTATGAGGTCATTAGATTCGAATTTTTTAACATTACATTTAAATTGTAGAATTTTGATCACTGTCGTCTCTGCAATGATTCCCAATTATTATCATAATAGTTGTTTTAGCAATCAAATACTAACACTCTTCCGAACTAAAAAGAATTTTAGTAAAGTTTTCATAGAAAATAATTGGAGAAGAAAGGTCTGGTGTGCATAGAATGGTGGAGGAAAATATTGGAGAAGAAAGAGGTCGGGTCCACATTAAGTTTAGAAAAAAAAAGAAAGATAAAGTTAATTCTAAAGAGTTTCACGCGCTCCAATCTGAGTGTAACACACAAATTTTGCGATGTCAGCATAAGGAGTTTAAGAGAAATATTTCTACTTAGCAGTAAGTGTCTATTTGGTCATTAGCATTTTTGAGGTGTTCAGTTGGTCGTTGAGGACAACTTAAAGGACCGTTTATGTATTTCGCCAAAAATTTATGGACAATAAATCTTAATTAGTTGAGGGAACATGAATAATATTATCAAGTGCAAATTGTTTATCAAATACGAAAATCGAACCATGACCAACGGGAGAGATAGGAAGTTTAGAATCATTACCCAACATGACTTCCTGAGGACTCTGGTATTCAGAATGGATTGCTAGCTAGATTATCAAGGTCAGACGTTGGTGATGCGTGGTGCCACTATCCATCAACTATTTCTGTGAAGTTTGTGGAGACGCACAAGCTAGGTTTGTTGAAGGCCGGCCAGAGGCATTATTTACATCAATTAGCTTTTGGCGATGGACACACATGTTCAACAAGTTCCCCTCACAGTTGTAACAAATGATCATGGATGTATTTGTGGAAGGTAACGACATTCTAGATTGAGGGGTTTGGAATGAATGTTGTTGTGTGCGGTCGTATGAAGACTGAGAAAACCATTGGGATGAGGAGTGACCTCTACCTCGACCATCTCGACCTCTACCACGACCTCGTGTGGTAGGAAGTGAACTCTGCATATATTGGGCAGATGAAGCAATCATAGTAAGGGTTTCATCCCTCTTTAATTGCCTCTCTTCAGTTAACAACATACCATAGAGACCATCTAAGTTAATATCCTCTTGCCGTGCTTCTAGTGATCTCTTGAATGGACGATACGCTGGACCTAGTCCTGCCAGAACGAATTCGACAAGATCATCCTCACGGACTAGATGTTGCAGAGCAGCAAGCTTATTTGCAGTTCCTTTTGCCTTTTGCACATAGGTTTCAATGTTGTCATTGTCTTGACGTAGTGTATGTAATTGTGCTTTAAGCTCACAAATTTGTGGCTTTGATCCAAAAGCATATGCTGCGACAAGTTTATTCCAAGCCTCATGCGCTATTTCTACCCCAACTAACTGTGGCATAATGCTCTCAGAAACTGACGAGACAATCCAACTTAAAACAAGTTGGTCTTCGCGTACCCAAGCCATGTAGGTATTGATCTTCCGATAGAAATTGTTCTAGGGCTGATTCACTACCATCGATCAATGTGATGGTTAAGACCACAACCGCTCACCATCGGCAGAAATTGAGTTTTCCACAACAAAAAATTAGATGAAGTTAACTTGACTGGCAACTGATGAGCCAAATTTAGTGTTGGGGAAAATGTGATCGGCTAACTAATGGGATTGGTTGCTGAAGTACGTGTTTGTTGAAGTATTGTCATCTCCCATTGCTACTAATATAATGATTCTCTATCTTTTTATTTTTCGGGTTGAAAAGTGAAAATACGAGGAATGAGAAAAAATAGCACTACTAAAAATTCGGTAAAAACCGACCAAAGTTGGTCGGTCAAAAAACCGACCAAAGTTGGTCGGTTTTTCAAAATATTTTTTTTTAATTTTTTTTTACGAAACCGATCGACTTTGATTGGTTTTCTTTGGCGTAAAAATACGAAAAACTATTTTTGAGTCCCGCGAAATTTATATTTCAAGAAACCGACCAACTTTGGTCAGTTTTTCAATTAAAATAAATAAAAATTAATATTAAAAAAACAGACCAAAATTGGTCGGTTAATTCGGCCGGTCATTTTAAAAAACCGACCAACTTTGGTTGGTAATTTTATTTTTTAATAAAACCGACCAACTTTGGTCGGTTATTTTCGTGCGAAAATACAATTAAAGAGTATAAATCAAATAAAAGACAGTTTTAAAATAAAATGCACCAATGGTCTAGCGGTAAAATAGTATCTTGCCATAGTACAGACCCCGGTTCGATTCCTAGATGGTAAATCTTTTGATTATATAATTAAAAAACCAACAAACTTTGGTCGGTTTTCTTTGAAATATTTCTTTTTTGAATTTAATTGACCGACCAACGTTGGTCGGTATACCTTTTCGACCGTCAAAATATCGTTCACACATAAATGGTCGTGTTTTGGTCGGTAATTGGCCATAACCGACCAACTTTGATCGGGTTTTTTGGTCGGTGTTTAGCGGATTTCTAGTAGCGTAGGTTGCTAAACACTAGGGCTCTGATGCCATGATGAAGCCTCTTTCTCTTATTGATTTGGCATCACATACAATAGTTGTATATATACAAGATAATTTTGGTCACCAAGACACCTAACAAGACCCAAACTATATAAGCCTAAGTTCAAGAATACAAATAAAAATGATATCTATTTAATACTCAAAGTAGAATTATCCGTTACAACCAGGTTATGTTTCTGTAGAACCGTTGCCTTCTATACTAAATGTTGAACACGTCTATCAGTTTGCCTTTGACGCCTTTGATTTTCAGTAGAAAGAATATGGTTCTCTGCTTTTAGCTAATTCCCGAACTGATCACTATTGAGATTACAAGAACACACATCTTTCTCTCTTTGAGTGCATTTCTTCTCTTTATGCCCTAATATACCATAGTATAAACAAACATAAGGTAAATTTCCGTACTTTAACTTTATCCATTTTGTTTCAAATCCTAATATAATCAACATCCCACGAGGTAATGACTTGTCCATATTCATCATCCTTAAACATAAACGGAAAGAAATTGGTCTCGAGTTCGTTGACCATAAAACTAGCCGAATTTCCCCAATACAAGGCCATCGTATTTTTCATACCTACAAAGTTAACCTTTTTATCAGAGATTACCTCACCCAAAAGACTCATTTAACATTTCTTCATGCTTGCTTTGATTCCTTGAGTGTCAAATCACCACAACCTTTTTTTCTTCCTCATTCAAAATGAAATTTGAGACACATTTAAAGATTTCCTCTTCCATTTTTTCAAAATGTAGTGGTGTGGTAGTAATCTTCTGCAGGAGACATTTGTTCAAAAAATAAATAAATAAAAAACTTAGATGGATGATGAAGAAAATCTGGATTAAACTAGCAGTTGCTTAAGGAACATGCTGCAGTTTTAATGAGAATGTGGATGAACGTTCAAAATGGTAGTCTTACAATGTTTGTAGAACTAGAGAGAAATAAATGTTGAAATAATAAGTGTCACTAATGTCACACAGACAGGTGCGATGTGATGATTGGGATTTCTTTATGTACCCTTAATGAGTAGTGTTCGGGCCCTTTAAAACGCTTCTTGGTAGAGAGCTCCCAATTCCATTAGTGGACCTTTTTGGCACTAATCCAAATTTAATCAAGCTAGACTACGAATACTGAATGATTAAAAAGCAAGTGTAGCTAAATGTAAGATTATAAAATTAACAGTAATGCAATAGAACATGTGTGTATACGGTCGAAACCTATTAGTCAGTTATACGGACTGGTCGAAATGATAATGCTTCGATCAAAGGGTATCTGCGTAATGTCAGGTCGAGGTCTGAAGTGAGGACGTCATGCTTCGAGCTCTAAGACCAATCAATGATCAGCTCGATATCATTATCGAGCCCATAACCAAATCAAACTACGAGGCGACGCGAAAGTGTCAAAGATGCATAGACCAACCAACGCCCACTCCAAATATCAAGACTCCGAGTAAGGATCAAGCTCGAGTCAAGGCCGATTGCTCGATCCAATATCGAGTTCGAGTCAGTATCGAGCTCACAGACAAGGGCCGTTGCAACCGCACTAAGGGAGAGAATCCTTTCTGAAATTAGGGAAAAGATAATTCATCATGGGTATTTCACTATATATTTTTTATTTTATATAAAGTAGGATCCCTCTACTATAAAGAGGGGGGAATTATTGTAAGCATGGGGACATTCACACATGGTAGCAAAAGTCTACTTTTCATATTGAAAGATCAACCTCTTGAGCCTGTTTTACTTTATCTCATTCATTCTTCTCGCTCACTATTTTATCTCTTATCCCCATAGTCTAGAATATACGCATTTCTATTTCTCTGTATGATTTGTGTCAAGTTATATCACACATCCTTAGAACTACTTATAAATTTAAATCTATCCTATTTTTCGGGTAAACAGTTTGGCGCCCACCATGGGGCTAAGGATAACAGTGTTTGTTTGATACAGATCTGCAACACACACCAGTTTACGCTCGTCTTTTGAGGGTGTCTCTCACTTCGAATTAGCAATGGCAAACACTCGATTAATGGCTTTACCTACCGACAACGAAGCCGGCCTTCAAGACGAAACAAATAACTTGATGCCCAGGGCTGGAAGGCCGCATATCGATGTCATTGAAGCTCGAGTCGAAGTACCTGAAGCTCGAGCCAAAGTACCGCTAGATGTCAACTTGCATGTGGCCTTTGAGGCAAACCAACATTCCGAGCCTGAAAATAGCATTCATGACGGTACTCGATCTGCAGCTCGAGACTCCCATAATGTGGAGAAGAACGAAGTTAGCTTGCGTATGATCTTTGAAATGTTACAAGCCCAGCAGGTAGCGATAGCTCAGTTGCAGAGCCAAACCCAGCTACCAAGCAGACCGGAGCCCAGTCCACCTCGAGAAATTGCCCACCGAACGGAGCCAGCCGTAGTAAGGTCAAACGAGCAATAATCGGGTTCTACTCCCGAAATTGCTAAAATACTTGAGGATCTCACAAAGTAATCGAAGCCAACAATAAGAAAGTAGAAACATATAATTTCAGGGTCGATCAAATCCCAAGGGCTCCGCCCATGATAAAAGGGTTGGATTCCAAGAAATTCATACAAAAGCCTTTTCCCTCGAGTGCAGCCCCAAAATCAATCCCCAAAAAATTCTATATGCCCGAAATCCCCAAACATAACGGTACGACCGATCCCAATAAACACGTCACCTCATAGATGTGTACCATCAAGGGTAACAATTTGGAAGACGATGAAATCGAATCCGTGTTGTTGAAAATATTTGGAGAGACCCTCTCGAAGGGGGCAATGATTTGGTATCATAACCTGCCACCAAATTCCATCGATTCATTTGCCATGTTAGCGGATTCATTTGTAAAGGCACACGCCGGTGCCATAAAGGTTGCAACGAGGAAATCGGACCTTTTCAAAGTGAAACAAAGGGATAATGAAATGCTGAGGATGTTCGTGTCCCGATTTCAAATGGAACGCGTGGAATTGCCATCGGTCACAGACGATTGGGCAGTCCAAGCTTTTACTCAAAGGTTGAACGAGCAAAGTTCAATGGCATCATGTTGGCTGAAACAAAAGTTTATCGAGTACCCGGCAATAACTTAGGCAGATGTGCATAATCGATATCAATCAAAGATCAGGGTCGAAGACGACCAATTTGGAACTCCTTCCGGATCCGCACATCCAAACAAATCGGCTATTAAAAACCAGAGGGACATCGATAGAGAACCGAGGTCGAACATAGACCGATATCAACCATACGTCACAGATCGAATGAATAATGGCTCGACACATAATGCCGCCCGGAACAATCGAAGGAGTGATCGAAGACAGAATTCTCGGGAACTAATGAGCAAGAATGGCTTTGGCAAATATGACGATCCTAGAGAGGCACCTCGGTTATCAGAGTACAATTTCAGAGTCGATGCATCGAGTATTGTATCGGCAGTCGGAAGAATCAAAGATACTAGGTGGCCTAGGCCTATGAAAACCGATCCTTCCCAAAGAAACCCAAATTCTATGTGCAAATATCATAGTACACATGGCCATAGGACCGAGGACTACAGACAGTTAAGGGAGGAGGTAGCCCGTCTATTTAATGAGGGCCACCTTTGAGAATTCCTCAGTGATCGAGCCAAGAATCACTTTAGAGAAAGGGACTCCAACAGAAAATACAAACAAGAGGAAGCTCAACATATTATTCACATGATCATCGGTGGGGTCGACACTCCACAGAGACCTGCACTCAAACACATTAAGGTATCGTCCACAGGGGAAAAACGAATGCGAGATTATGTGCCCAAAGGCACTTTATCGTTCAAAAACGAAGAAGCAGAAGGCATCTCTCAGCCCCACAACGACGCTCTGGTAATTTTTATCCTATTAAATAAAGTTCAGGTTAAGCCTGTTTTAGTGGATCCAGGTAGCTCTGCAAATATCATTCGATCAAGGG